CTCCAGGCTAAAACCTTTTCTTAGGCCACTTTATTGTCCGTACAAAAAATATAGCTTATAATCTTTTTTAATTCATCTTTTTGGAAATTATCGTTTATTTCTATTAAGTACCTTTTCTCATGTCTTAATTTAAACAGCTAAAATCATACTTTTGTCTTTAATTTTTATACGTTTGTTATATGCTGATGTGCTTACACCAAATAATCCTTCGTCTCTTGCCGTTCCTTTGTTGTTGTATTTTCTTGGAGTTTTCAAAATTTACAAAAAAGCTCAAAACTCTGCGTGCCCAGCTTTCGCAACGATTGACGATAAAGAAAATAGAAAGTTGCCAAAATTTATTTCGTAAATTCTGAACAAACGATTTATAACATATTTAAAATATAAAATGGAAACATTGTCTATTAGGTTACGCATAAGAAATGTTAACATTCCCTATCTAAGATTTAAGAGACCTCGAAATTAACTAAACATTGATGTGTGTTTCTTAAATAGGGTACGTGTGATTTGTATCATTGTAATTTTGTGTGTTCTGTTCTAGCGCAATGTTACACGTCGTTGTGACGTTAGGTCTGAGAGTTCAAACTGTTCTTGTGATACAGAAATGTTTGACACAAACTCAAATTAAAAAGGGAATACAGTTTGGGTTCTCGTGTACAAGACGACCACTATTATCTGATATGGTCTCTGCTGAGAACTTAACTTATAAAGTAGATATCAATCGACATACTTCTCATATACCGCAGGTTCAATAATGGCGACGATCACTTCCGGGCGAGCTTCGTTAACATAGATACAAACCATTTCAACTCAAATATATTTATTTATCAAGAGCAGCGGATTTACAAACGTCCTTTGAGAAAAGACTTTTGATATATTATTTTCCTTTAAGCAACGGATTGTTATCACACATAAATCATTCCCCCAGTGCATCGAAATATTTCTAAGGGAAATAGACGACCTACTAGGAGATATACTTGGTGCAAATAATCTTAGTGTGGTAATAAAAATAAGCATATCACATCTCCCCTCTCGGTTGTAAATAAACATTAAAATAAATATAACATTTTCAGCGCTAAAAAATGAAGTAGTCTCATAAAGCTTCTGCTTCATGTTGCTATTATATCACACTTCTTCTTTTATGTTCCGTATCTCTTCGGGACATAGGCGATCATAGCTCTTCATTTACTCCCTATCCGTTGCAGCTCTCAATATGTTCTTTTGCTACTTCTGCCAAACCCTGTTCCGTTATTGCTGTAGTAAACCTTCCTACAATAGAATGAACTCTTCCTCTTTTCATAAATATTAACTGCGAGAATCGCAGAGTAGAGGAGTAGAGTAGAGGAGTAAATGCTTCTCTTGAGGGGTATACGCATTCGGATAATTATCTGACACAAGGCTCCGTCCCTGTGCTGGTGGTATCACGGCTCCGACTAGCATAGACCAGCTCTGACCAGCTTCGACAAGCTATGACCAGCTAAGACCAGCTTAGACCAGCAGCCCGAGTGAAAACACTCTCTCCCCATGTTAAAAAATGACCTTGTGTCACAACCTGACCCAGTGGGGGGGGGGGTAAAGTAAATACCGTCGTAGGGTAGAGGAGATGCAGTGATAACCTGACCGTTCGGACCTACACATCTCTATCTGCTTATTAATAACACTCTGCTTTGGATATATCTGTCATTTCAATACACTTGTTCAACCATTTGTGTCTTTCTTTCTGGCCTCTAAACAGGCCACAACAGTTATCCCCTTACTTAAGCGCCCTAGTTATGTCACGCATTTCTTTCAATTGTTTCCTCTTTCCCCTCTATCCGCCGTGTGGGTATCAGATTCTCTAGGCCCTCTTTTCTTATTACGTGTCCGACAAATTTCAGCTACTTCTTCGTGGTGTAATTTATAAGCTTCCTTCATCATTGCTCTCACATTTGGTGCATCACACTCTGTTACTGACAAATTCAAAGATTATTTCAAAGAATTATTCGGTAGCGACGTAAATGAAATATGTGTGTGTGAAATATAAATATAAATTTCTACCAGTTACATAACGCAGTCATCAAAAACAAGCAAATAATCAGTTTTAAAATAATAACACATCAGCCTTAAAAAAATAAAAATAATAGCAAGTTTTACCTATCATAATTTTACACACCCCACCACATGTACATACGTGCGTGCGAGGAAATATTATTCAGCGAAAGAATAGAAAAATTCCCTGATTGCTGACATGTATACATTCACGAGAAATATTCGCTACAGATCCCATCTTTGAATTTCAGCAAACAAATGCGTATGTATGTAGACAATAGAACACATATACATACATATTCCAAGTTCCATACTGTCCACATATGTTTATGTTTGTATGAGCCCCGGCGGACGAGCGAGTGTGTATGTGTGTGTGCGGACCTCACTTGGTGTACGGACATGAATCTATGTTTGCGTCAGCATGAATGACATCACGACGACGATTCCCCACCCCTCTTACATAATAATACCAATACACGCAATACAAAATTAGAAAAAAAATAATCAGTTTGTCTGACGATCGCAAAAACGTGAAACCCAGGGTCACAAAAACACACATCAATCCAACCAAATATAAATATATATATATATATATATATATATATATATATATAGTTCGCTAGTGGTTGGTATGCTCGTTACAATCTGTAACATAATATATACTACTGTTATAACTTAGATGCTAAAATGATTTAAAAAAATCTTACAAATTTAAAATTCCATTTCTCAAAAATTAAATTCCGTTAAAAAAAACCCCAAAAAACTTATACTGTACGGATTAAATTATTTGAAATACATATTTCAAAAGAATATGCTGAAATAAAAATGTGTTATTTTAAGAACAGTGTATAGAAATCAGTAGAAAGTTTTAAAAGTTAATTTATAAAATTAAAGCAAGAAATACATTGCCTATTACGTTTCTCTCCAGTTTCGATAGGCCTAAGATCTACGCAGCCCAACTAGCTACGTTAATTTTTTTTCATTTTCTTTAAGAAAAAAAGAGAGAAATTAAGTAACATTACTTTTTTTCTTTCTTTTTTTCTTTCATCTTTATTATGAATCTTGTGACCAAGTAAAGAAACAACAAAACAAGTGTTACAGATATATCATAATATTAAACAGTAAGTACAACAGAAGAGTATTATACGACTAGTGAGTCTGTCGGTTGACCTAGCGTTCAATCTATTCGACTGTTAATATTTAACGGCCGCCCGTCTCACGAGGGATGTATGTGGCACAAGGCCGATTTTATCGTGGGTTCTCCGAATTGATTTTATACTCAATAATAAAAAAGGATTATAGAGCTGGGCCTTTTCTTCACTTTTCGCTCGCTTCTTCCTCTCTCTCTCTCTATACACAAACACACGCACAAACACACACACACACACACACACACACACACACACACACACACACACATATATATATATATATATATATATATATAAAGAGAGATATATGTCGTATAGTGGCCAATAGAGTAGCGCACTGTAGTGAATAAAGTACCTTTTTGATTTTGCTGAGATAATTTTATGTTTTATAAAAGTCATTTTGTAGATCTGATGACCAGTTTTTCTGCAATCCAACATAAAATCTTGTTATCAATCTTCAAGTTGCGTTGTCAGAAAATCTCTTTGATTCCCGTCTTGTAAAACCTCTTAATTTCCTTATCTCTTCCAATTCTAAACATCAAAATCTACCATAAGAGTTTCCACCAATTAAATTACAGGCAATCAAACTCTCCTCACCCATTGTATGTGAAATTTCAAGTTTGAGAAGGGACACTTGTATTAAATGGCTCTTCGAATCCACGGTGTCTATATAGCAGCATTTCCTCTTTTAATTCTGTTTTAATTTTTATAAATTTTCGATTAGCAGATTTTTATATTTTTGAAATTACCCGTTGCTGGCCTCCTGAGAAATTGACATTGTTTTTACACATGTATATCTAGATTTATTTTGAAAAAAATATTTTCCTTTAAATTAAGGCGGAGAATGATTTTGTATTTTTTGTAATGCTAGGTCTACAAATATCTTTTCATTTATGTTTCCTTAACTTTATCAATTCATATAAGTGATAAATCAATATATTTTGATTTTCACTATTTTAGCCGCGGGTGCCAAACACCCCGACTAATTTCTTTGAGTGATAAACAAAGCTAGTTTTTCGATAAACTTCGTCGATTTCATTTGTCCATTTCTACGAATTTCCTTTTCCAGTGCTTGCTTTGTTTTTACTCGCCATCGCTTTCTCTCTCTCTTTTATCCCTCCTTCATTCTTTCTGTTTCTTACGTTCTTTCTTTTCCTTCGTGTCATTCTTTTTCTTTCTTTCCTTTCCATACTTTTTCTTTCTTTCTTCTTTTCCTTTTGTCATTTTTTCTTCTTTCTATCTTCCTTTCTTTTTCTTTCTTTTTACTTTTCCTGTCTTCTTTTTCATTCTTTCTTTCTTATTTCCTTTGCCTTTCTTTTTCTTTATTTCTTTTTTCTATTTCATTTTCCTTTCTTTCTTTTACATTCTTTCTGTTTTTTCTTTCTTTTTTCTTACAATCTTCCTGTGCCATGTGTCCTCAAGGACATTTATATATTTATCACAATGTTTCGGCAGTTATACGCTCCGACATTCTTCAGGTGGTGCAATGTCGAAAATAACGCTATATTCCTCAAAGACATATGGCAGAGTGGATAAAAGCGTTAGTTGGATCCAGTGACAGGACCCATGGAGTGTGAGTTCAATATCTGGTTAAGGCAATGGAGAACTTGGAGAGGAAAATTAACATGAGCTAACTGATAACTGACATCCATTAGACATGGCATGTGGAAATAGAACAGTTGAGAGAAATTAAGGGTTCAGTTCGACATTCCAACCACCTGAAGAAGGTGGAGCATACAACGGCCGAAATGTTGTGATAAATATAGCAACAAAGATGAGGACAATAATCCGAATAATGTAAATAGTGTACATAATACCTCATCTCAAAAATATAGACAAATTTTTCGTTCTTTCTTTCTTCTGTTTTCTTTTTTCTTCATTTTCATTTTTTCTTTCTTTTTTCTTTATGCCATTCTTTCTATTTCTTTCTTTTTTCGTTCTCCTTTCTTTTTTCTTCCCATTTTACTTTCTTCTTTTTTCTTTCTTTCTTTAGTTACATTTCTTTTTATTTCTTTCATTGTATTTCTGTCGTTATTTCTTCTTTCTTTCTTTCTTCTTTCTTTCTTTCTTCTTTCTTTCTGTCTTCTTTCTTTCTTTCTTTATCCAATCTCCCTTTCTTTTCTTTTTTCTTTTGCTTTCCTCTTTTTTCTATCGCCCTTTCTTTCTTTCTTTCCTTTCTTTCCTTTCTTTCCTTTCTTTCTTTCTTCTTTTCTTTTTTCTTTCTTTTCATTCTTTCCTTCTTTTTACTTTCTTTATGTCATTTCTCTATTTATTTCTTTTCTCTTTCTTTGTCCTTTCGTTCTCTCTTCTTTCTATCGTCCTTCCTTTCTTTTTATTTTTTTATTCTTTCTTTCATTCCGCTTCATTATTTTCGTTGCCCCCTCCTTCATTTGTCTTTTTTACATTGTTTTTTTCTTCGTCCCTTTCCTCATTTTTTTCTATCATTATTATATCCCTCATTATTTCCGCCAAAACATTTTTTTTAATTTTTTTGATATTCATTTCTCCTATTGATTTGATTTTTCTTTCTCGTTCTTTTTCATTTATTCAGTGGATTTACTTCAATCCCTTATTCTCATTTGCTTATCATAATTTTCCCCTTCATGACCAATTTTCTTACTTATCCCATTACACCAATTCCCACTTCGTCCATCCCATTCCAAAATAAATCGAAATATTCATTAAGGATTTGTTTTTTGCTTATCAACCAACTGTGACGTCCCTAAACACAGCCTTCTCTCGCTCCTCGCTGCTTCGTTCGGGTGTCGCAGCTCCAAACGTGACGTCCGCCTGTTTGCGTCAGTCGTGTTGTCCCGTTCTCTGACGACCAACTGGCTTGGTATCGGTCGCGGCACCCAAATGTTACGTTCTAACCTTTTGGTGATTCGGATGGGAATCTGGTTAGATTCGATATCAGCCTCGTCGTTCCCAACTCGCTTCTAACGTCTGGTTACCAAAGTAACTGCGTTGATCTCCAGTCCGCCTACCCACATTGTGAATTGATCTTAGGCAGACGAAATCAATCAGTCGTTGGGGCTGTAATGCAAAGTGAGTTCAAACGAGGGTAATATCACACAAATATGCATAAAATAAAATAAAATGATAACTCAAAAGTTCAAGGTATCAAAAAACGGATAACAATACTTTATATCTGGTTGCTGGATACATAGGACTGTGTCTATCTCCCGACCTGCTATATGGATTGTGACTCGTTGTTTTTTGTTAGGCGAGTTTTAACATCTTAAGTTGTCTGTTCTTTGAGAAATTGGTTCTTGGTGTGTCTTCAGGCGAAAGTCGAAAAACTTATTTTGGTGATATGGATCTAAGTCGCTCTTCAAAATAAAATGTTCTTGGATTGAAGATGAGTTCGGAAGTTGCGCGAATCTTAGTCAGCTGCGAGGCCTGCTTCAACTGAGCACTCTGGATTGAAATCCTCTGAACTCAACTCAACTCAACTGAACTCTGCACTCTTCTCTGCTGAACTCATTTTTACTCGCTGCGACTTTGCTTATATGGACGCCGACCAAAACCGGGGTGGGTCTGTCGGGATTGGAGGTTCCTCGATAATTCTAAATCCATATCCACTTCTTTTATTTTTGGTTAGGAATTTTCTACTCCTTTCCATTTTTGGAAGTCTTCTATTACTCCCACCTTCTCTTATTCTCAAATGGATATCTCACCATACTTCAGAGGGGCGTCAACGGTTCTCCTCACTTCTTCGTAGCAACTTCTCATACCTATCTTGTAAATGGGCGGCGGCGGCTTCCCTCCTTGCGTCACGTGTCGGCTCCGCCTGGCCCTCGTTATCATTCGGCCAATGGCGTCCAGACGGGTGTGTGTGATCCAGCTGGCTTTGTTTTAGGAAGAAAAAAAAATACATCTTGCTAAAAAAAAAAAATCTTTTTCTTTTTCTTTTCTTTCCTCAATCGCAGCTCTCATCCCCCAATGTCACCTGGGATCTATCAATGCCAATTATCAATTGAGGTAGTCGTCTAGCGAAAACACAGTCGACCGTCGTCTCGACAAAACAATTCCATTGTTCTAGTCATTCTTGGTGCCAATTTCTGATAATATAGTTTTGTTATCACAACCGAATTCTAACACCCATAGATGTTCTGTCAAAACGGCCAAGACGTGACCCAGGGTTGGCTTCGTGTGCGGTTAGCAGACGACCTATTAAATCCTTTTCCGACAATATTGTTGCCCCCTCTGACACAGTTAATTTTTCTTATCTATCCAAAACTCTATATTCACCTGTTCTTTGTCAGACAGTGGTGGTCAGAATTTTTACTATTTTTTTCCAATATCAAAATAACATTGTCAGTTATCTCCGAGTTTTTAGCTAGCCGGTCTGTGGTTTATTAATTAGATGTTCGCCAGCATTAGGTGGCTGTCATCTATCTCCGGTAACAGAAGTTCGCCACCAGAACATAGTCGATTTTCTTATCCATTTAGAATTTTTTCTGCAATGGTAATGACACCTTTCGCCATTTGCTACTTATCAAAATAACATTGTCAATGTCTCCGGTCGTGGGTGGCTTCTTTTATCATCTAAGCTTAAGTCTCGCCTCTCTTTTCCTTTCTTTTCTTTCTCTTTTTCCTTTCTTTTCTTTTTGTCCTGGTAAATGGTCTCACACAACCACTCACCCTTTCTTTAAATTGTTATATTTTTATTATTTCATCATCATTTCTACCTTCATCCTTTACTTAATTTTTTCTTTTTCAATATTCGTTCATTTAATTATTTGTTTTTCATTTCTCTTTTCAATGCGTATTTATTTTCTCTCATTACCATTTATAAATTTCCTCCATTTTTTTCTTTTTTAAAATTCTATTTTTATTTTATTTATTCGTTTAACCTTTTCGTCACATCGTATATTTTATTTTATTTTTCATTTCGCTCCTCTTAAACACTTTCTTTCTTTCTTTTCCTTGTTTTTTTCTTTCTATCTTTCTTTCTTTGTTTTTCTACGTTTTCTGTCTTCTTTTTTCTTTCTTTCAATTTCTTTTTCCTTATTTTTCTTTCTTTCTTTTCTCTCTAACTTCCTTACCTTTCTTTCTTCTATATTCTTGCTTCTTGTTTCATTCTTTCTCTCTCTCTTACCTTCTTCTTCGTTCTATCATCTTTCCTCATTCATACTTAACGTATTATTGAACAAAATTTGAAGCAAGGAAACTGCGATAATTTGGACATTGCTAACCAGACGCTTCTAAGTGATACACGGCGTCAGATCAAATGAAAATTCCGTGTAGGACACAGGTTCGATTCCTGTAACAGAATATATATTTTCTCCAAAATTTCTCAAACATTCAGGCAAAGTATGGGATTAATACTGTTTATTATAAACTGAGAATTTACATAAATATACTATCTAACGATAACGCATTACTTAAAATTATATTAAATTACAATTAGTGTTTATTCGAACAGGTTAAAGATCAGGTTCGCAGTTCACAACTTGTTTACATGCCATGGATATAGAGAGTGTGAGTGAGTAAACATTAAGGACGTTGTATAAGATGTTCACACTATTTAAGGGCTGAAAAGGGGTCATTATTAGTGTTTAAACGAACAGGTATAAAGTTTTCTTTGTTTATCAGACAATGCGCAAAATCTATATGGTGGAAAACAACATTTCAACATCATTTCTATCTTCATTTTTTTCTTCATTTCTTCTTTTTCATTATTCATTTATTTAATTATTTGTTTTTCATGTCTCTTTTCAATACGTATTTATTTTCTCTCATTCACCTTTTCTTTCTTTACTTTCATCAATTTTTGTCTTTTTTATTTTTTTTTATTTATTCTTTTAACTTTTTGTCTCCTCCTACATTTGGTTATTTATTTCACTCTCCTTAAACAGATTCTTTCTTTCTTTTCCTTTCTTTTTTATTTCTATATTTCTTTTTCTTTCTAATTTTGTCTGTTTTTTTCTTTCTTTCTATTATTTTTTCTTTTTCTTTCTTTCTATTCCTTTCTAACTTTCTTTCCTTTCTTCTTTATGCTTTCTTCTTTTTTTCATTCTTTCTCTCTCTCTCTCTCTCTCTTACCTCTTTCTTCGTTCTATCACCTTTTCTCATTCTTCCTTTTTCATTCTTTCTTTCTTTTTCATTTTTCTTTTTTCCTTTCTTTTTCTTTATGTCATTCATTCTTTTTCTTTTATCTTTCTTTCTTTCGTTCTTTCTTTCTTTCCTTTACTCTTTCTTTTTTCATTCATACTTTTATTCTACTTATTCTTTCCTTTTGCCTTTTCTTCTTTATTCTCATTCTTTCTTTCACGTTCATATTCTGTAACTCCCTGCGTACGACTCACATTACCGCCATGCATAGATTAAAAAGATTTAAAACTTAAGTGTATATATATATATATATATATATATATTAAAGAGTTAAGAAAGAAACAAAATTAATCTTCCATGATTATAATTTATTTCCCAGAAAATATATTTTCCTCATTCATCAGGTCACATCTATTACATTGAGCCCCCTGGATCTCAACGTCTTTGGAATTATCCATACGGATTAACAAGTCTTTCATTACCTTTTATATATATATATATATATATATATATATATATATATATATAATCATCCCACCTGGCGTCTTCGACGTATGAATGTCAAGCAGTAACTCAGTTCCCAGGACTAGACAACGAGACTACCCCACATATGATTTGATTACAGTGGCGAAGGCATTGTGCAGAATCATCCACACTTTTTGAAGAGCCGAATACAGAGACCTACCACAGGATTTGAATTCTGAGTTGTTCTTCACCTATACCATTTGCCATCCAAGTCTACAGAACCCATATTCAACCATAGCTATATGGAGAAAAATAAGATTCAGTTTATTACCATGAAAGTGTAAAGCATTCGACTGGATTTTTAACTCGGTTATCCGATTATATATATATATAGCGGAATGTGGGAATTTCAGTTTTCTGTGTATTCCTTAAGAACTGTGGCATTTTTGTCGAAGAGAAATTGCTAAGCTTACCAGATTTCCATTAAGAAACAAACGATTCTCTCACGAATTCTGTAGATTTATTGCTAACTTCCGGTTTGCTTCGGAAAGCAATTATGTTAAGAATCTGAGCCGGAAATGTTGAAGACAAATGATTATATGCCATCAAATTAATTCACTATTCTTTCTGAAGTAACGAGCCCAGCTTACACATGAGATCTGCAGAAATCCCAATAATGTAGAAAGAAAGAGAGAGAAAATAAGATGATTTGGAAAAACCTGATAAAAATGTTGTTTTATTATCCTCTTATTCATTCTTTATACATTTCATAAGTTATCCCACGTTAGAACTTTTCATATCCTCCTTCGATAAACACGAAAGTATATATATTACGTTGGTGCAAAAATAATGTCGTTTTTGACGTTCAACTTAACGTCAAAAAACGACATTATTTTTGCATAAACTATATATATATATATATATATATATATATATATATATATATATATATATATATATATATATATATATAAAGAAAGAACAGTAATATATATAATCCGGTGTTCTTATAGATATTTTTATTTTTACAAAATAGTGCTCAATGTAAATTTACAGAGCATTAATATTATAAATTAATTGATATAAAATATTTTTTTTCGCTATACAAGTCTAATCATGTTTCAAAAATGGAAGCTAAAATTTAATTTTTGTAATTAAATTAAAGACATTAGTTCCATTTCATACTCAAGCGAATTTTGGAGTAATTTATTACTGGGTTTTAAAAGCACAGCAAAAATCGTACCCCTTATCTAAATGAATGGGTTTCTCTGTCTCCTTGGAAAGGTGTATTAAGATTTTTGAAATATGGTTAGAACTGTGTAGCGAAAAGAAACATATTTTAAATCAATTAATTTATAAATATATATATATATATATATATATATATATATATATATATATATATATAATTATTTATTCAAAAATTATAACATAAATATGTTATAAAATCACTACAAAATAGCCATTTTGTTTCAACATTACTGGTGTCTTAACAAGTGAGTGTTGAATGTAGAATACATGTTTTCTTCAACATTCAACGCCATCACTTGATAAGACACTAGAAGTTTGAAACAAAATATCTATTTTTTAGTGATTTTAAAACATATTTATTATATACTTTCCGAATAAATAATTATATATGCTCTACTCAGTATTGAGCACTCTTTTAAGAATAGTATTTCTTAATTACTGGAATTTATGTACTATCACTTAATTGCTTGTGTTCCCAGTTCCCCCCTGACTCTGTTAGAATCCTAGTTTTGGGCAAATTGTTAACCCATAAACTGGGGTCAAAACGTGCAATAATATCTTGTAATACCAACAATAAATTTTCGAAGGTAAAATTATTAGAAGCAATGTTTTCTTACCAGCAATAATTTTTGGTGGGGAAATATTACCAATCAATACATTTTTGAAAAAAGAAATATTAACAATAATACATTTTGTGGGGAAATATTACTTGCAATATAAACGTTGTCGGCATTAAATATCCCGTTGAGGTTGGTATGTCGCAAAAAAACACACACACATCATATATATATATATATATATATATATATATATATATATATATATATGATTAATTAATAATTGGTAATCAAGTCTGAAAAAAAACCTCAACAGAATGCACTGGACGGCCATTTCGTCCTATATTTGGGACTCATCAGCAGTGCATCCACTACCGAGAATTGAAACCCGGAAAGTTAGGTTATCAAGCAAACATGTCATACCGACTGTTCCGATGGGCCTCGGTCTACCTCTTTGTTTTCGAGGCCCGTTGGAACAGTTGGTATGACGTTTGATTGATAACGTAACTGTCCGGGTTTCAATTCTTGGTAGTGGATGCGCACTGCTGATGAGTCCCAAATATAGGACGAAACGGCCGTCCAGTGCTTTCTGCATTCTGTTGAGGTTTCTTCTGGACTCGTTGAATTACTTATATATATATATATATATATATATATATATATGATGTATTATCCCGTCGAGTTCGATGTATGAGTTTCCGACCTGGATGAACTAATTATCTGCATGCCTATGGCGGGCATGAATTTTGAGAATTGCACAAAATCACAAAGAGCACAGGAGAATGTATTGTATCAATATGCAGCAGGAACACGGTTAGATGTCTTATTTTGCTTTCTCGTTTCATGTAGTCGACTGATGTTTACTTCTCAGTGCAGCTATATCAATGTTGTACTTCTTTAGCTCCAATGCGACCAGAGCTGTTTTTCTTTCTGGTGCTGAGTTGTTGTCCTGGAGACTTCGTACATTCCAAGCGACAAGATGAAGTTGATGTTGTTTCGAAGAATTTTTCGCAGTATCCGGATATGTGTAGAACTATTTAGATCGAGTTGTTAGAAAACAAACACAATGATTTTTTTCAAGCGGTGAAGGTTTGCGTCGGACCATTCACACTTTTTGGATCTGTCGCTAAAAAAGTAACGGTGCAAAAGAATTGACACGGAAACTCCGAAAGAAAGCCTCATGTGTTATTATCGCGGAGTTTAACCTCTCCGGATGACAGCCAATTTCAGTCAGTACACGCCTCTCGGCAGACACATGCAATATAATGACCGGGTTAAGCTGTCATGAATTTTCCTTCCCATCTGAAGACTTTTTATCGTGAAACCAACACTAAAAGGATTGCTAACCAAAGCTCAGAGAGACTCTTGTCACCCTCCTCAAGGTCAGCTAGTCCGCGCCAATTCTCAAACTGGTACTTTAGGCTCGTGGGCGCGCGTGTGCCGGTGAAATTGGATTTTTGTTATATATATATATATATTCTATAGAATTTGTTCATATCATTTACCACCTCAAACAAGGAAATAGAGCCAGTAAGACCCAAGTGGTTATTAAGGATCGAATACATAAGAAAAATCGAAACGTTATTTAGGATCGATAACAACAAAGAAAAGAATTAAGAAGACAAGAGCGTTAAAGTTTCACGAGTATATATATATATATATATATATATATATATATATATATATATATATATATATATGTGTGTGTGTGTGTGTGTGCGTGTGTGTGTGTGTGTGTTTTTAAATCATCCCCCGAAGAAAAGCGGGAATGCCACTAGTATGCAATTGGATAGAGGGAGTGAAGATGAGAGTAAATACTGTGTATGTGGGAAATTGAGAAAAAGATAATAACTGAAAGGGATTCAAGAATATAAAATATAGTGACTGACGTTGCATTAAAAGTTTTGAAGATTGTAGTTATCTGGTAAGCAAGGAAACGGAAGGGAGTTACACAGTTGGGAAGGGCGAGAAAAGAAACTGTTGGAGAAGAAGCAGTTGCATTAAACTAATTCAAAAATGAAAGGGTGGGACCTAGATGCCAATCTAGTAGCACATTTAAACTTACGTGGTCCCGGCACTAGGGAATAAATATCGTCAGAGCAGTTGCCATGAAAATATCTGTAGAAATGACTGAGGGAAACCACGTTATGTCGGTGTGAAAATGACTGAAGTCGAGATTCCAAGTCGATTACATTGCAGACCTGTCTTTGAACTTTGTCAAGAACATCGAGATGAGTAGAAGGAACACAAGACCAAACCTGGCTACAGTATTTAATGCATGGACCAACTGTAGATTTGTAAACATGCAAGATGGACTCTGATTAGAAAAAAGAAAACTTCTGGCACAACACAGTCACACAAATTGCGTTGTAGTAGTTACAGCTATTTTTTAAATGTAGTCGTTCTATTTCAAGTCCGTTGAGAACGTAAGACCAAGAAGGCGTTGTGGGTTGCTGAGTCTAGCATCACCCATGCTGATGGCGGGTTGGAAATATTCTATCTGGTGGTTAAATGAAGGCGGTTTCGTTTTGGCGGCATTAAAATTTATGGATCATTTCCTGCCCAATTAACAACTGATTGGATATCCTTTTAAACAGCAGCGTCTAGGTTAACTTTGTCATCTTTGACGAATTTTCTATTGAGACAAGTGTAATGGTAGTGACCTCAGCAAAAATACCTACTTGGGAACTGATGACATCAGGAAAATCATTGATGAATATCAGAAACAGCGTGCGGCTCTGGGTAAAGATTTAGGAACACCGACGTTCGTGTGAAAATATCTTGAAGCGAACCCATTCAAGACGACCTTCATTTCCCTATTTGATATGAATGATTGGATTAGATCAAATAATCATCCACTAATACATTAGCCCTGGAGCTTACGTAGAAGACGAGCGTGTTAAACGCTTTCAAACGCCTTGGAGATATCTAGAGCCACATCTCGTTCATTGACGTTATTATC